AATAATAACATTAATTAAATGAATTTGCCTAAATCTAAAGGAGTTGTTCAAAGTGACCACCATTTTGGTCAATGCATAACTAAAGAAACTAGAGCCAAAATAAATAGGGTATTTTTTTACCCTAAACCCCACCAGTTTCGGACGCCCCTGATTAGAAATTTTGACATTTGATGTTTGAATTCGTTTAGGTGTATAAAGGTTATCATCTGTACCAAATTTTGTAATTTTATCTTAAATGGTTTTTGAAATATTAGCAAAAACCTATTAGCCCCCTTTCAGGGGGTGTAGCTCCCTTACCAAGCATTTTTCGACACATGTTTATAGGAAACTTTTGTCTTAGAATTGAATATCCTATCACCTGTTTAAATTTGTAACAATAAAAATGGAACATCCTGTAGATTTATTTGAGTCACGTTACAAAGTTAAATAAAGTTTTCTGAAAAAAATCAACAATCTAACGCATGTTTAGAATGCGTAAACGCAGGAAAGTTTATTTATTTTCTTTATAACTGTGATTAAGGCAGCACGCAATTGACTTTATTATTAAATTAAAATGTCAACTGTTTCGATTGCGTTTCTGATTTTTTTTTTGAAATGGGGAAACACTAACGTAATAAATAACAAGATAAATCGCTACAAGTTGAGGGAGGTGAATATTGGCTTAATTTCACCAAGTTTTGTATAGTTTCAGTTAATTTGAATATTCAGTAGGTGGGGGAGCCTTATCTAATAATCCTATAATAGAGAGAAAGAAASTAAATATTAGGAATTGCCGTTGCGTGACAAAGATAGAGATATTATAGTGAGGTATAGCAAGAAAGCTGAACTGTTCAAAGCAATTATTTTAAATTTCTTGTTTATTTTAAACGTTTTTGGGCAAATTTTGCTTGATTTTAATAAATTACATTGTAGGAAGGTACATTAAAATATTTTTATTAATATTTTCAATATATCATAAATACAGTAGAGCCTCAATTATCCGAACTAAATATTGAAAAAGATTTCTCAAATTATCGATTTTTTAGAGTATTAAATTAACAATTTTTTTTTAATTAAAATGAATAAACAATCGAAATACGTGTATTTATAAAAAATGTATATATAACAAAATATACAGAGTGAGTGTGTCAAAAATATAATGCAACTTTATACAGGCTGTTTCAGAACTCGCCCTCTAAAGAAAAAAATTAAGTAAGATAAAATACCAGGAACATGGAAGACAAGTTTAAAAAAAATGTCAAATAATTTTGACATTTATTTTTTGACATTTGACATATTTTTTTACGTCTATTTAATG